CCTGGAACTGGAATTACAGACAGTTGTTAGCTGCCATGTGGGTGCTGGGATTTGAACCTGGATCTTCTGCAAGAACAGTCACTGTTCTTAACTGCTGAGCCATCTCTCCAGCCCCATAAATATATTTTTAAGTAGTATTTTTGAGGGTTTTTTAAATGATAAAGTCAGCCGTGTTTATTGCAGAAAAAGCTGAAAGTTGGAAAATACATTTTAAAAGTCAAGCCAACAGTAATCCTACCACTGGAGAGAGCTACATTTAACATGTTGGTGTATCTTAATTTTATCTTAATATATGTGCCTTGTTAGTGTATGTTCATTGTGCAAAGTGATGGGTTTCATAAAGTCAGTTTGATTCGTGTGTAGCATGTACTTTGACAATATTGATCCCTATTGCTCTTCCTTGTCCTCCCACTATTAATCCCCTTCCTTTTCCTTAAGATGTTTCCTTCTACTTCCGTGTCGTTTCTGTGTGTGTGTGTGTGTATGTTTGTGTCCATATGTGTTTATACAATTTAGATTTCATACATGGGAGAAATGTGATGTTTGTCTTTCTGGTTCTGTCTTATTTTGATTACTATCATCCTGACTTCTATCTGTTTTCCTACACATGACATAATTTTGTTCTTTATATATTTTTTCATGGATCCTACAATAGTAGTTAAAGTACAACCAGATGAACTACTACTACTACTACTACTACTACTACTACTACTACTACTACTATTGTTGGTGGTGTTATTGCTGATGAAGGAGAATCAGATCAATAATACTCAACCAGGAAAGGAGTCAGGTGTTATGCTATGGATGAATACACCCCATTCTCAGTCCTAGCCTCCAACAGAAGGCACAGTGAGACTCTGCAAGTTCTCAAGAGATCATGCGTGTTCTTCAGAGTGCTAGAGAGATTTTGAATCTGGCTCTTGGTTACTCCTGATTTTCCTTCAAATAGAAGTGCTTTCATCTGCTTTGGTGTACTTTTTCACTCTCACTGTTCAAGCCTTACAAAGATGGTTAAGGTCATTTTTGATTCATAAATGCATTGGGGAAAAGGCACCTGCTTTTCTTGAATGTTATGCATGGATTGAAGAGAGATGCTAAGGACTTGGGGAGCAAACATATGTATGTGCTTATAAAGGGATAGGATTAGATGATGTCAATTTTATGAAAAGTGCTAAAAGGAAAAGCAGGCAAAAGACTGAATAGCATACATATACAGACCAAGAAAGAGCTGAAAAGACTTGAGGAGAGGGACAAAACAGTTGCACATTATTTGAGGCATGTTTGACTACAGAGCAGGAAAAAATGGTTAAAAAAAGAGTGATTTGGGGGAGTTGTAGACCACCAAAGTAAGAGTTTCAGGAGGTAATAAATATAACGTGTGTCAACTGATTTTTGCTTTATTCTTATAAGTGAAGAAAACTGAATTGTTTAAGACTAGAGGCTTCAATCACTATTCACTAAGAAACCAAAACACTTTGAGCTTCATTTAACATTTGCTGTAATTTGAGCCAGTTCAATGACTTCTACCACTTCTTGGGAAAGATATTATTGTGACATAGAAGTACTAAGAGCCACCACCTGCATTTGCTGCTGTCAGTGAAAGAACTGAAAATTACAAAGGAGAGATGGGGAAAAGAAAGTTCTTGGGAAGGACTGAGCTTCTTTTTTTGTTGTTTGTTTGTTTGTTTGTTTTTGATTTGTTTATTTATTTTTATTTTTTAAATTATTTCTTTAGTAACCACATACTTAGAAAAAGCATTTCATTACATCAGCATTGACTTATTCAATAACAATTTTCTGTGCTTGGATGCATTTCTTTCAAAGCTGTACATTTTAAGGTTTACAGTTGAATTATTACAGTTATACAATATTGTACTCACTATAAACCTTATAAGATGTAGAATTAAATGAGGTTTTGACCTTTAGAAAAGATCTCCATTTCATTATTAAAATATAGAATTTTATACAGAAAAATTCATTTTTAATGCAATTGACATTAAGATGTTTACACATGTGTTTCTAATCTCTATATATCAGACTATTACTAGTCACAGTCAGTTACTTTTTGAGCTCCTTGGCATCTGAGCATGGATATAAAGTCATCAGGTAGAGTTCAATGGTAATGTTTTTCACATCTACTAATTATTAAGGAGCAAATTTTTATGCTTTGTAGAATTACTATTTTTAATCATATTTTTAAAATTTTTAATAACTACATGATTAGAGGAAGCTTTTCACTACAGCTTTAACATATTCAGTAACACACTCCAGATGAGCTTCTTTGCAAAACTAAGTTCATTGTCCTTAGTACTTAAATATTCAGTATCTATGCAAAAGGACCTCTTTCTAGGAGATGCAGTGGGTTTTATAGTTTATGTGCTGTAATCTGAACATACTGTTATCAAGTCTAAACAGGATTGCAGGTCCATGACCAGTGATTCTCAATGGTGGC